ATGTAATATACTAATTGCAATTTACTATATATTTTACTATATATTCAAAGCCGCGGTATCCAGCCCTACCCTCCTCTCCGCCCTGTTATTGGTGGGAACTCCTCGGAGATTTCACCTTCATATCTTATCAAACAAATTAGAATGTATAATCGGGTATGTGACTTAAGGATTATACTTGATTGTGAACCATAATCTCATCTTCCATATCTGGGGAGAACACACACAATTCCACCGTGTGTGAGAGAGTGAGAAGTGTGATAATCTGTGTATCAATCTGAGGGTTGGCGACCACAGTCCTCCCCTCTAAACGTTCTCAGGCTGTTTTTACCAATCATATTAGGATTTTTATCTCTGGTGACCCATTTGTTTTCCTGTCACTGTAACTTATTCTTAACATTCGCCTATAACACCACTTTTCAAAGGCCTCCAACCTCTTTCTGGTGTCTGCTGAAAGTGTCCACGCTTCTGACAGTGTGTGTGTAAATGAAGATATAAATTATTTGAGTAAAAGGTAAGCCACACTCTGTTATATTCACCTCGTATTAGTTGTGCATGAAGCGAAACATGAACTGAGGCAGTGGTTTGTGCAGATGACAGTGATGTAACACCCCCCCCCTCCACCCACACCACCTCTCTTCCCCACTCTCTACGTCAGGTAGAAATACCCCGAGTGACAAGACCTCTCTCCCGGGCCACACACTCCAACACTACGTCTTATATTGAAAACAATAGAACCTTATAGTGATAGATCCAAGCACACTGCATGCAATGGCACAGCACTTTATCTCTGATGACAAGATAGATGATATACTAAGGCTGTATCCACACTTCGCATCTAGTACCTTATCAAAATTCTATGTACCGACTCAAACAAATAATGTCCTGGAAATACTCTGTAACATTCATTGCCTTAATATTAAAATCACTGGGGCCTGATACACACCCTTTGTGGCCTACACTCTGTAATCAATTTTGAGCTACCGCTCACAGGATGAGTATGGGGTGCACAATAAACTAGCTGCTGTCTGCGACAAATTTCGAAAATTAAATTCTCTCCCGGGGTGCCACTTCCTTCTTGAGTAACTGTACGTCTCCATACAAACAGTCGCCACGTAAAATATGATCAAAATTTGACCAGAATTATTAAATTTATCTGAGACCAAACTTCAACCAATCATAATACGGATTGACGAAGAGGGTATTACAGGAAATCATAGGTTTAATTTATAGATATATATTAGCATAAAAATTGATACCCTAAATTCAATATGGCCGCCAGACCGTCAAAGAATCGTTGAAGATGATCTTATTAGGAATTTACACTAAATTCCACAACTTAATAATGCCTTCACTGAGGTCAGAAATTTAGCCAAGCAGAAATAATGCAAAATTAGTAACCAGAGATATCGGTAACTAAGGTGAGGTGATGATCAGAGCATCTTAACTAAGTGTCGCAAAAAACTAACATGTTGAAATCCTGAGCTAATTAAGACTTCTAGAATAATGAAGTCTGAGCCGATCATCAGCAAGGTTATAATGATCAAAATTACCAAAAATCACAAAATATTAGGTTATTTATGACACCAGGTATACAAACTACAGTACATTAAGATCAAAAATCATCTATAAGACAAAAAGGTTTGGAATTTCTGTCAATCTTCAGACCTAATCAGTGACCAAGAATATTTCCCAAGATGTAAGAAACTGCTTAAGGTATTTTAAATTAGTGTAATTTGAGTTACAGTAAAATTCATTGGTACGTGTCCGAGATCCAGTGTCGAAATGAAACTTCAGCCAAAAACTTCAGCTTGAACACTCAAAATACAATCCAAGATGGCTGCTTATTCAAAAGTCAAGTCAACTTCTCTGTTAAGTGTCACGAAAATGTACTCGGGGATATCTGAGGAAATGTTGTACACACACACACACACACACGCACTCTCACACACACACACACACACACACACGCACACACGCACACGCACACACGCACACGCACACACACACACACACACACACAGTCTCTCACACACACACACACACGAACTGATCGCTATAAGAACAGCCCAGTCCCAACCATTGTAAAAATTATCAATAACTTGTAATAAACCAGTGTATTCACTCCCAGTAAACACTAGTCCTTGCACTGTCACTATGTTGAAATGAACTGTAGTTTGAGCTTTTCCCCATCTAGTTATTATATATCTTATTTGTATCACTTATGTTACTTGTATATTATTTGTAATTCGAAACCCATTCCCCAAATATGTAACTGTATATTTTCAGCCTTCTGGCTGCCAAGCTCTTTCAATAAACCGTTAATTATTATTATTATTATTATTATTATTACACACACACACACACTACCGTAACTCTCATACGTCCTGAACCAGCTGTACCAACAGTAATAATAACAGAGTACAACACCATAACCCCGTCACAGTGTAGCAATAAATCTTTACTTAATAACGAAGCTCAATTTATGTTAGGAAAGTCAGGCATATAATATTGGCAAGACTCCAGCTATAGTACGATGAACGGATGACCTGGACACACACACACACACACACACACACATGCACATTTCTTGCTTGCGTCGTACGACTTTTTGCATCATCTTTTCGTGTCATACAACTGCTAACACTGTCTCGCCGTGTCATATACCTGCTTCCATCATTACCTTCTGTCATATACCTTCTTGCATCACCTCGTGTCATATACCTTCTTGCATCACCTCGTGTCATATACCTGCTTGCATCACCTCGTGTCATATACCTGCTTGCATCACCTCGTGTCATATACCTGCTTGCATCACCTCGTGTCATATACCTGCTTGCATCACCTCACGTCATATCTGCTTGCATCACCCGTGTCATATACCTGCTTGCATCACCTCACGTCATATACCTGCTTGCATCACCGTGTCATATACCTGCTTGCATCACCCCGTGTCATATACCTGCTTGCATCACCTCATGTCATATACCTTGCATCACCGTGTCATATACCTGCTTGCATCACCCCGTGTCATATACCTGCTTGCATCACCCCGTGTCATATACCTGCTTGCATCACCTCATGTCATATACCTGCTTGCATCACCTCGTGTCATACCTGCTTGCATCACCCCGTGTCATACCTGCTTGCATCACCTCATGTCATATACCTGCTTGCATCACCCGTGTCATACTGCTTGCATCACCCCGTGTCATATACCTGCTTGCATCACCCGTGTCATATACCTGCTTGCATCACCCCGTGTCATATACCTGCTTGCATCACCTCATGTCATATACCTGCTTGCATCACCCGTGTCATATACCTGCTTGCATCACCGTGTCATATACCTGCTTGCATCACCTCACGTCATATACCTGCTTGCATCACCCCGTGTCATATACCTGCTTGCATCACCTCATGTCATATACCTGCTTGCATCACCCGTGTCATATACCTGCTTGCATCACCTCATGTCATATACCTATGCATCACCTCGTGTCATATACCTTGCATCACCCGTGTCATATACCTGCTTGCATCACCCCGTGTCATATACCTGCTTGCATCACCCCGTGTCATATACCTGCTTACATCACCTCGTGTCATATACCTGCTTGCATCACCGTGTCTACCTCTCCCACATCACCCGTGTCATATACCTGCTTGCATCACCTCGTCATATACCTGCTTGCATCACCCGTGTCATATACCTGCTTGCATCACCTCACGTCCATACTCTGCTTGCATCACCCCGTGTATATACCTGCTTGCATCTCACGTCATATATGCGCATCACCCGTGTCATACCTGCTCACATCACCTCGTCATATACCTCTTGCATCACCGTGTCATATACCTGCTTGCATCACCTCATGTCATATACCTGCTTGCCATCACCTCGTGTCATATACCTGCTTGCATCACCCCGTGTCATATACCTGCTTGCATCACCTCACGTCATATACCTGCTTGCATCACCGTGTCATATACCTGCTTGCATCACCTCGTCATATACCTGCTTGCATCACCCGTGTCATATACCTGCTTGCATCACCTCACGTCATATACCTGCTTGCATCACCCGTGTCATATACCTGCTTGCATCACCTCATGTCATATACCTGCTTGCATCACCTCGTGTCATATAACTGCTTGCATCACCCCGTGTCATATACCTGCTTGCATCACCTCGTGTCATATACCAGCTTGACTTGTCTTCCACGGACCTCAAGTACTTCAACAAAATAAATCGTACATAGTCCATTTAGACTTTTAAATACAACGCTATTACTAGTTATTTTGTCTCGGCACCAGAAACTCATATGAATTATTCAGCCAAATTTTTACCAAGTTTGTAAAATTTTGAATATGCAAATTAATACCGCGCGGCTCAAAAATCCATGAAAACTTAACAGCAGGATTTAAATGATGGTATAGCTCGTCTGTTTTATACCAGCGTGAGGGTTGTGATGGTGGTTGTGGTAGTTGTTGTGAAGGTGGTGGTTGTTGTGATGGTGGTGGTTGTTGTGATGGTGGTGGTTGTTGTGATGGTGGTGGTTGTTGTGATGGTGGTGGTTGTTGTGCTGGTGTTGGTTGTTGTGATGGTGGTTGTTTTGGTGGTTATTGTTTTGGTAGTAGTTGTTGCTTTGTGGTTGTTATTGTTTTGGTTGTTGCTGTTGCGGTGGTGTGGTGGTTGTTAACATGTGATAATGATTGTTATGATGGTGGTAATTGTTGTTGTTGTGATACTGGTTGCTGTTGTTGAAATGGTTTTGGTAGTGATTGTTTTTGTACGGACAGTAGTGGTTGTGTTGGACCCTGGTTGTGTTGGACCCTGGTTGTGGTGGATCCTGGTTGTGGTGGATCCTGGTTGTGGTGGATCCTGGTTGTGGTGGATCCTGGTTGTGGTGGACCCTGGTTTGAGTGGTCCCTGGTTGTGGTGGTCCCTGGTTGTGGTGGCCCTGGTTGTGGTGGACCCAGGTTGTTCTGGACCTGGTTACTGGACCCTGGTTATGTGACCCTGGTTGTGGTGGACCCTGGTTGTGGTGGCCCTGGTTGTGGACCCTGGTTGTGGTGGCCCTGTTGTGGTGGCCCTGGTTATGCGAAACTGGTTGTACTGGACCCTGGCTGTAGTGGGCCTGGTTGTGGTGATCCTGGTTGTACTGGACCCTGGTTGTACTGGATCCTGGTTGTGCTGGACTGGTTGTACTGGACCCTGGTTGTACTGGACCCTGGTGTACTGGACTGGTTGTGCTGGACCCTGGTTGTAGTGAGCCCTGGTTGTGGTGGACCCTGGTTGTACTGGAACCTGGTTGTGGTGGGCCCTGGATTGTGGTGGACCCTGGTTGTGGTGGACCCTGGTTATACTGGAAACTGGTTGTACTGGACCCTGGCTGAAGTGGACCCTGGTTGTACTGGACCCTGGCTGTGAGTGGGCCCTGGTTGTACTGGACCTGGTTGTGCTGGACACTGGTTGCTGGACCCTGGTTGTAGTGGGCCCTGGTTGTGGTGGACACTGGTTGTGGTGGACCCTGGTGGACCCTGGTTATACTGGAACCTGGTTGTACTGGACCCTGGTTGTGGTGGACCCTGGTTGTACTGGACCCTGGTTGTACTGGACCCTGGTTGTACTGGACCCTGGATGTGGTGGACCTGGTTGTGGTGGACCCTGGTTGTACTGAACCCTGGATGTGGTGGACCATGGTTTACTGGACCCTGGTTGTACTGGACCCTGGTTGTACTGGACCCTGGTTGTGGTCGACCTGGTTGTACTGGACCCTGGTTGTACTGGACCCTGGATGTGGTGGACCCTGAATGTGGTGGACCCTGGTTGTACTGGACCCTGGTTGTACTGGACCCTGGTTGATGGATCCTGGTTGTACGGACCCTGGTTGTACCGGACCCTGGTTGTACCGGACCCTTGTTGTACTGGACCCTGGTTGTACTGGACCCTGGTTGTGGTCGACATTGGTTGTACCGGACCTGGTTGTACCGGACCCTGTTGTCGGACCCTGGTTGTACTGGATCCCGGTTGTGCTGGACCCTGGTTGTGGTCGACTGGTTGTACTGGACCCTGGTTGTACTGGACCCTGGTTGTGCTGCACCCTGGTTGTGGTGGGCCCTGGTTGTGTGGACCCTGGTTGTACTGGAACCCCTGGTTGTGGTGGGGCTCTGGTTGTGGTGGACCCTGGTTGTGGTGGACCCTGGTTGTGGTGGACCCTGGTGTGGTGGACCCTGGTTGTGGTGGACCCTGGTTGTACTGGAACCTGGTTGTGGTGGGCTCTGGTTGTGGTGGACCCTGGTTGTGGTGGACCCTGGTTATACTGGAAACTGGTTGTACTGGACCCTGGCTGTAGTGGACCCTGGTTGTGCTGGGACCCTGGTTGTGGTGGACCCTGGTTGTACTGGAACCTGGTTGTGGTGGAGCTCTGGTTGTGGTGGACCCTGGTTGTGGTGGACCCTGGTTGTGGTGGACCCTCGTTATACTGGAAACTGGTTGTACTGGACCTGGCTGTACTGGACCCTGGCTGTGCTGGACCCTGGCTGTAGTGGACCCTGGTTGTACTGGACCCTGGTTGTGGGATCCTGGTTGTACTGGACCCTGGTTGTGGTGGATCCTGGTTGTGCTGGATCCTGGTTGTGGTGGAACCTGGTTGTACTTGACCCTGGTTGTGGTGGACCCTGGTTGTGGTGGACCCTGTTGTGGTGGACCCTGGCTGTACTGGACCCTGGTTGTACGTGACCCTGGTTGTGGTGGACCCTGGTTGTGGTGGACCCTGGTTGTACTGGACCCTGGTTGTACTGGACCCTGGTTGTGGTGGACCCTGGTTGTGGTGGACCCTGGGTGTGGTGGAACCTGGTTGTGTGGACCCTGGTTGTGCTGGACCCTGGATGTGGTGGACCCTGGTTGTGGTGGACCCTGGTTGTGGTGGACCCTGGTTGTACTGGACCCTGGTTGTGGTGGACCCTGGTTATGGTGGACCTGGTGTGGTGGACTGGTTGTACTGGACCCTGGTTGTGCTGGACCTGGTTGTGGTGGACCCTGGTTGTGCTGGATCCCGGTCGTACTGGACCCTGGATGTGGTCGACCTTGGTTGTACTGGACCCTGGTTGTGCTGGACCCTGGTTGTACTGGACCCTGGTTGTGCTGGACCCTGGTTGTGGTGGACCCTGGTTGTACTGGAACCTGGTTGTGGTGGGCCCTGGTGGTGGGCCCTGGTTGTGGTGGACCTGGTTGTGGTGGACCCTGGTTATACTGGAAACTGGTTGTACTGGACCTGGCTGTGGTGGACCCTGGTTGTACTGGACCCTGGTTGTGGTGGACCCTGGTTGTGCTGGACCCTGGTCGTGGTGGACCCTGGTTGTGGTGGATCCTGGTTGTACTGGACCCTGGTTGTGCTGGACCTGGTTGTGGTGGACCCTGGTTGTGGTGGACCCTGGTTGTACTGGACCCTGGTTGTACGTGACCCTGGTTGTGGTGGACCCTGGTTGTGGTGGACCCTGGTTGTACTGGGGACTGGTTGTACTGGACCCTGGTTGTGGTGGACCCTGGTTATGCTGGACCCTGGTTGTGGTGGACCCTGGTTATGCTGGACCATGGTTGTGCTAGACCCTGGTTGTGTATGTATGTATGTATGTATGTATGTATATGTATGTATGTATGTATGTATGTATGTGTGTATGATCAAATTAAGGATAGGAAACATATATGAAAAAAATCTTTTGATTGACTGACTGACAAACACAAAACTACCAGAGAAAATGTATATTAAATGCTTTAGTGAATTAAAGAAACTGTCGATGAAGTCATCTTTACGGATTATTGCTGTTTTAGGGATGACTTTCGGCTATTTTAGGATGACTTTTTACTATTTTAGGGACGACTTTCGGCTATTTTAGGGACGACTTTCGGCTTTTTTAGGATGACTTTGCTATTTGGACGACTTCGCTATTTAGGGACGACTTTCGGCTTTTTTAGGGACGATTTTCGGCTAATTTGGGGATGACTTTCGGCTATTTTAGGGATGACTCGGCTGTTTTAGGGATGACTTTTTCCTATTTTGGGGATGAGTTTTTGCTATTTGGGATGACTTTCTGCTATTTTAGGGATGCCATTTTTTATTTTAGGGATGAGTTTCTGTTATTTTAGGGATGACTTTCTGTTGGGATCCATTATAACATCCTGACAGTCATGTTGTGTTTCCACTTTGTTCGAAAAAAAAATCCCCGGAAAAATACACAGATGAAGGGTACCGTTTAATATTGTGATATGATTGGTTACGTCAAAGGAATTAAAAATATTGTGAAAATTCTTTGTTTGTCAAATGGAGCGCCGCCAGGATTTTAAAAGTATAAACTAGTGAATATAAACGGAGAAACCTGAAAATTTATGATATTCTGGAATTTTGCTGAAGAACTTTACCATCAACTTCTGGTAAACACTGGTTACGACCCTTTGTTGTTTTCATTTTGGTTTAAAGAAAAACTATGCAAAATTGATTGTTTAGTATAATTCCTTTCCTGTGTAGTTGTAGACTCATTACTGTTTACATTATTACATAAGTGTGACGTGGCCCCTCGATAAACTGTAGTGAGAGCATCTGGTACAAGGAACTTTACCTCTTAACTCTAACCTAACCTAACCTATACACGGTACATAGGTTTGTGCCACAGACCATAAACCAAATATTGTAATAATAATAATAATAATCAGTGCTCTAGAATGCCTAATTGACTTCTGAATAATGAGTAATTGGCACAGATTTGATTATGATTATTAAACCTAGACATGTTACATAATCCATTGCTTCATCCTGTTGAGAACGTTCTTTTTTTCTTTTTTTTACGGGGATTAGCCCACCTGGTACAGGTCACTGACCCACATCGGGGCCTGAAAGGAAAATTTAATAATAATAATAAATAATAATAATAATAATAATAATAATAAATAATACACCATAAAGAAATACAAAAATGGAAAAAAGGGTCAGGAGTGAGAAGCGCAATATGTATGTTGTGTTGTCAAAGTAAGAGAAACAATTGAGACCCTGCAATTGTGTGTAAATGAGGCAGAAAGTCAGATCAGCAGCCTGGGACTTAGTCACAATTTTTGTGATGCCATATGGCAGCAGGGTCTACCATTAGACAACACATTATGCTTCCAATATCTTCCCAGGGGGTAGTACTCTCCTGTTTGGTAGCTGTCTACTACTAACTACCTTGGTGTAAACAGCTAGTTTCTCGTCAAACGTTATATCCTAGTATTTTTATGTTCAAGTTTTGTGGTGTTTTCCTTTTACTGGATTGGAGGAGAGTTATACAAACATGGCTGCCACACCGCTGTATTGTACCCGAGAAAACAATGAACTGCCTCATAGGTGTAGCATAGCGTAGAGTACGTAACTGTTGCAGCGGCTGTAGTATACGGTACAGTTGTGGTACAGAGGCACAAATTTTAAGGTTGATGATACACATCCTAAAAATATATGAAATAAAATTGTCTTACGTGTAAAAAATTTGGTTTATAACTTATTTTAGCAGGATACGTACTGTAGTTTGAATGGATACGTTCATTTTAGAAGTCAAAAGTCTTTAGAATTTAATTTACATTGAACTTGAAGATACGCTCCAAGGTTATGTGATAGCCGGTCGAAAAGTTTTTTCAGATTATTTTATTACAAAACTATAAATGAAATCACGCAGTCGAAAACTGCAAGGTGTGTTCTTTGAATATTTCGTTGATATTCAGTAACATAAGTTTCCATTAACAATAAGCTTACTTTTTCAGGTGAATATGACTGAATTGTAATGCAAATTTCAGGTCATGTTCGAATCTGCGTCTGGTAGTGTCCTCGTGTTGTGACCCGTTACTCAATAAGCAATATATACGTTACTTCTCATCACTTCCAATGATTTTAATTAATATTTCCTGTATATTAAATAAATGTTACTGACTACAAACACAATTATTGTTTTTATGATGATGTCATCAGCTGTAGTCCTCGTCGCTGCCAGACAATGTAACTAAGTGTGGCGGGAGGATCATGTGACGCTCCCTGGGTGGTGTTTTTAACAATGGTTATGTTTGTTATGGTAATGAAGTCTCCGGGGAGTGGCACGATTCTCTCCCCACAAAGATTTGAAAAATATTTATCAAGCATAATTGTTACTGTCGGTAAACTGAGATCACTTAACGCAAATTGTGAAATCTGTATGAGTGAATTACTGAAATGATCGTAGTGAGGTTCTTAAAGTTAAAGCCACTCTTTCACTATTTAAATCATGCTTCAGCTTTCTCATCTGGACCCATTTTACTACATAAGCATTCCACTGTAGTGAGGTTAAAAAAATATTACATGATATGTAGTGAGGATCTAAATAAAGTTCAACAACTTGTCTTTTAAAAAAAACAATGTCTCTCTCTCTGCTTTAAAACTGCTTTATTTCGGACTTTATATAAGAAGTGTTTGGTCTGTGGCGAGTGGATGGAAGTCACGCTGTTCCTATTCCAAAGGGGACGTCTCCTACTGCAGCTATTGCCTACAGCATCCTTAATATCCTCTTGTACTAAGGGTGATAATCGTCTCACTGAACACAATGAATATAAAGCAGAGCCGGCACGTGTGAACCTGTACTTGACCTTCCCTTTGCGTTACAAAAAACAGCGTAAAATATGTACTGTAGTCAGTCAAAAAAACTATCTGTACTTGGGGTGATCGATGAATTTCAGAATAGACACTGCGACTCCTGTTGTCTCGGTAGGGTTGTCAAAATCCTTCGTCCGTTGTGTCATATTGTCTTAACATAATTTTGTATAGATATTTTAATGAGTGACTGTATATAAATGTATCGATGGACGAGGATTTTTCAGTGTTGTGCTTAAACATATAGGAAATTTTAGAGTTGGGAGCTACTTTTTAAAATGTCTGTCATTATAGAATTAATAGTAAAGGAAACATGACTCTTCAGGAGGAATTCGTTATCGGTACACAGTGGAGGATATACTGTGGTTAGGTTAGGTTAGGTTAGTGTTAGTGTTAGAGTGTTTAATCATCAGGTGAAATAAGTTGGAGGTTAATCTAAAGATGATTCGTTTTCTAAGCCATTTATAAGGGACCGTCTTTAAGGGTGAGCTTCGTACCTGAGTCAGCACCAGGAGTCCCAAAGAGTCGATATGACCAATTAGAGTAGAATCGAAGGAGGAAGAAGATAGGAAGTACACTGAGTGGGTCGGAGGAGGAAGAGGAAGAATAGAGGAAAAAAGAAGAAAGGAAGAAAGAAAGAAGAAGAATGAGAAGACTGGGTGAGTGAGTAGGAGGAGAGAAATTTAGAACAAAATACCTGTACATGTGTGACATTATAAAGTCGAGTCTACAGTACATAGTGTGTGAGATCGTCGTGATTCCATAGGCTGAAACCCGTCTCCCACTGCCCTAGGAAGAGGCGGATCAACAAATGCGTGCCTACATCTGTCTCCGTGTGCATCCGTCTGTGCCTTCGGGAGTCCTGAAAGATCACCTTAAGATTACACACCTAAGCATATTTTTCCTGAAGATTCAACACCTAACCGTATTTAACCTATGCTAACTTAACCCAACCTAACCACCTAACCTAACCGTATTTAACCTAACGCACTTTTTATCTAACCTAACTCCCCCAGGTAGAGTTAGGGTGGCTAATCTACAGGTGACCCATCGTGAACATATGGCTCAAGCAAACAACATTGGATTTTAATATGGCCGCTGGGACTCTGGTGTAGTACATATAATAATGATTTAAAACATTCCTGAAAAAAACAACGAAAAGATTTATTTTCTCCGTCGGTGACTAAAGGACAGTAGCAGTGTAATGATAGGTGGAGTTAGTACAGTAGGTTATAGAGATGTATCACTGGAGAATAAACTCCCCCCGTTAGGGTGAATGAGGGTTTGTGGGAGTGAGGTGGCTTTTTGGGAGAGGGTGAGGAGGCTTTTTGGGAGGGGGTGAGGAGACTTTAGGAGGTGAGAAGGCCTTCTGGGAGAGGAGGCTTTTTGGACGGGTGAGGAGGCTTTGTGGGGGTAAGGAAGCTTTGTAGGGGGTTAAGGAGGCTTTTCGGGAGGGGGTGAGGAGGATATGTGGAGGGGTGAGGAAGCTTTGCAGAGGGTTAAGGAGGCTTTGTAGGGGTTAAGGAGGCTTTGTAGGGGTTAAGGAGGCTTTGTGGCGGGTGAAGGATCTGTAGAGGCAGTTTATTAAGACATTTAATTAACGGAGAAGGTAAATAAACAAGGATAAGAAGTGAAAGAATAAAACCAAGAGAATCAAGAAGCAGCGAGAGGAAGAAGGTTGTTCACAATTATCACACTTTCCTTGTAACACTGTAAATTATTATTCATATTATAGCAATTATTTCTCGTGCATTACAAATTATCATGTTAACTCAAAGCCGCTAATTCATTCCAAGAAATTTAATTATCAAGCGCGTTAGTCGATTTGGATTAGTAGCGTCATTAGTGAAAATCTCTCCTATCACAAATTTGTTCGATGAGATGTCAGA